TCAACCAAAATTCATTATTTTTATCTGTTTGATTGTTGTTTCAATAAATATTTATCAATATTAAATCATTTAGAAACATATTCAAAATTTTGAAAATAATTTATTTACAGATAAATCAGATATTCCCCACGAATAATTAATTATTGGTTTTGTGATTTATTTTTATAAGTAAAATTTTTGAGGGGTCAAAAATTTTTGAAAATAAAAATTAATATAAATAGAAATGATTTTTTCTTAAATTTTTAAATTCGATGAAATAATTTTTAATCAAGTTCATTTGATTATATGGGTTATCCATTCTTTTTGGTATATTATTTGGCATAAATTTTTCATTAAAAAAAAGGGAAGAGATCATTTTTCACGAATAATATAGTTTAACAATATTATTTGTTTAGTTTGTGAATTTGAAATTTCAAAATTTATCATGATCATATTATGATATTTTATGAGTTTTTACTAATCTTCTCCATTTTTATTAACTGACATGGTAAAACATATTGTAACTGTTAGAGCTTTAAAAACATTTGCGTTGATTTATTTTATGTTCTTGATTCTTTCATTTTAAACACTGTGAATTTAATAAACGAATTTATTATTGTATTATGTGTATTTTTAATTTGTTAAATTACTTTGATTTGTAGATTTTGACCTCTTAACAAATTCTTCTGAAAAGAGGTGGTTAGTTCGTGCTCTACTTTATATATTGCAACAGTCTTAGATGCAAAGTCATTCGGCTCACTTCTTCTTCTATAATTTATAAAATATCAATATAAACTTGTGAAGTTTAATTTTCGTTCGTAAAAATTTAATTATTATTCGTACATATAATTTTTTTAAAAATGATTTTAAATTAGTATTTGCATTTGTTTAAATTTGTTTCAACATTCAAATGTAATTGATCTCTACAGCAAAACCTTTTAATCTAAAATTGGTTATTTAGAGACTATAATTATGTTTTATTGTACAATTGAGAAAAATGATAAATCTCAATTGCTCAAAATTGGACTCAGTTTTTCATTTCAAATTACGACTGTCATTCGTAACAATATACTAAGTTTAAGTCAAGCTCACCAAATAATTCACATACAATGACACTAAATCTATCATCTATTCATCACAAAATCATTTGGTTAATGAAATCTTGAAGAGGTACTAATTTATATGATTGAGGGGTATGACAACCGTCATATACAGTTCCGAGGGTCTGTTATTATTATTCTATTGTTTAAAAATTTGTTACAGAGTTTTTTTAAATTATTTTAACTACAATTTTTTTTTTTATTTTTCACCCCTTTAATTCCATAACACATTAATTTAATTACTATCTCTTTATAAATTTATTAAGAAATATTTTTATATTTAGTATTTTAATTAATTTGAAAATGTTTTATAAATAGACACAAATTTTCCTCTCTTTTTAATCTTTTCAAAAATTCTTCTTTTTATCTTTTATATACGCCTTTAACATGCATTTATGCATTTAATACAAATCATCAAGGAATGAATTTTTGGAAAATTTAAAATCTCCCATACTTATTCAAGTTTACACGCGATTCATTCTTTACGAAAGATATTTATCTAATATTATTTTGAATTGTTTGAATTTCATAATTACTAATTTTCAACATTTTACTTTTATAATGTACAATGTCAAAAACTTGGTGCATTGTTGTGGACTTAAAATAAGTTAAAGGATTTATGTCATCAAACCAGTGTGTTTATTTTGAACCAGCCTTGGTAGTAAATATTTCAATTGTCAGATGTTAAACCATTGATTCAGAATACAATACTAGGAAGACATTTTCTTATAAAAAACCTTAGTTTATTACCATTTAAATTTAGTTATTTTTATCTACGTACGTATATATCAATGTGTAAGTCGTAAGGCTTTACTACATCATATTTGATAAATTTTTAATATATATTTACTGTATTTTGTATTTTGTATTAACTAATATTGGCCTAGTGTCAGTTTGTAGAGTTTACTCTTGATTTCAATACTTTTATATTTCATCGATTTTTTCTCATATACTAAAAGAAAAGGCTTCTTTTTATTAGGCCATTCATTATTCAGATTTTCTCAGTTGCAAAAGGCCATTTGAGAGTAAAAACTTGTAGGAGTTAACTTTAATATGAAAATTGAAATTTTTTTGTTTGAATGAATGGTTTGAAGACAATACAAAAGACTCTTGATTTGACAAAGTCCATCTTTCAATTCAATACACTAATATATATGTTTATATTTTTTTCATTGCTTATTAAATGTCCATCTAAATTGCAAGATATAGTGTAACAAACTAAATCTGAGAGGTAAAAAGTTATTTTAGAGCATTAACTTGAGTTAGTATAGCTTTTCAACCAAAATCCATTCTTTTATTTGTCTTCACGTTGTTTTAATAACAACTAATTAGTATTGAATCATTTAAAAACATATTCAAAACTTTGAAAATAATTTATCTGTATAATAAATTCAAATATCTCTAAAAATAAATACTTATTGATTTTGTGATTTATTTTTAAATTATTAATTTCAGAAAGGGATGAAAATAAAATATTTGAAAAAATAAAACTTATAAATAGAAATGATTTTTTCTATATTTTTTCAATTTATTGTTAATTTTCAATCAAGTTTGACTGAGGATTTTTCAAGGTAACTGTATTTTAAGTTTTTTTGCTACTTGAATCAAATTTGTCAAAAAAGGGAAGAGATCATTCTTTACGAATAATTTATATTTTTAATAATATCATTTGTTTAGTTTGTGACTTTGAAATTTCAGAATTTATCATGATCATACTATGATATTTTATGAGTTTTTACTAATGTTCTCCTGTTTTTTTTTTTTAAATGAAAGGTAGAGAAATATTCTAGCGAATTTTAATTTTGAATTTTCAATAACTGGATATTACTTTTTGATTGAACTCTTAAATTTCAAAAAATATGTTTTTTAATAAACGATTTTATTATTATATTATGTGTATCTTTAATTTGTTAAAACTATGATTTGTAGATTTTGATCTCTTAGCAAACATTTTTGAATAGAGGTTGTTACTTCGTGCTCTACTTTGTTTATTACAACAATCTTGGATGGGGGGTCACTTGACATACTCCTCAATCAATAATCTGTAAAATTTAATTGATACATTTGAAGTTTTAAATTTTTGTTTTTTTAAAATTCAATTGTCGTTGTTCGTACGTATACATTTTTAATTAATGATTCTAAATTAGTAGATATTTATAATTCTTTAATTTTATTTTGACATTCAAATTGTAGATGATCTCTAAAACAAGGAATAAAATCTATTAATTTAAAATTGGTTATTAAGAGACTATAATAAAGTATTATTAGACAATTGAGAAAACTTTTAGATTTCAATTGTTTAAAATCGAAGTCACTTTATTTTCGATTAGACTGTTATCCGCCACAAGATACTAAATTTAAATCAAACTCACCAATTAATGTACAATAATACTATATCCATCATCCGTTCATCACAAACACATTTAAATCTAATTACTTTTTGTTAAACGAAATTTCAAAGAGGTACTAATTTGTAAGAGTATAACAACCATTGAATACAGTTCCGAGGATTATTACTATAATTCTATTGTTTAAAAATTTGTTTCAGAATTTTAATTAATTAATTAATTTTTTCACGATTTAAATTAAAATTATTTTTATTTTATTTTCACCCCTTAAATTTCATAACAAAAAAGTTTAATTATTACTGTCCGTTTTAAATGTATAAAAAAATATGTCACTAAAAATTATATAAATAGACACGAAATTTCCTCTTGGTTTAATCTGGACACATATTATCTAAAAAAATTTCTTTTCATCAATGATATACACTTAAGACAAGCATGTGATACCACTGAAGATTCTAAAGCAAGGCTGGTTCTTGCAGCTTTCTTCTTCGGCAAGTTCACAATCTCCAAAGTGAGTATGAGTTCAAGTTTACACAAGATTCATTCTTTACAAAAATATTTCATTTAATATTATTTTAAATTGTTTGAATTTTCAAAATTACTAATTTTCAACATTACATTTTGATAATTTAATAATGTTAGAAAGTTGGAGTTTTGCTGTGGACTGGAATGAGTTAAAATATTATTGTCAGCAAATAGCTTGTGGATCTAAAAATAGCTATAATTTACTGTTTGTTTTTCTTCCATTTTAGATTTAAAATTTAAAGTGTTTAAAGTATGTTTATGTTCAAGTTTACACAAGATTCATTCATTACGAAAAATATTTTATTTAATGTTATTTTGATTTGTTTGAGTTCTCAAAATTACTAATTCTCAACATTATATGTCGGTTATGTATAATGTTAAAAATTGGTGTTTTGTTGTGGTCTAGAATAACTTAAATTTGGCAATATCAGCAAAAGATTGTTTATAACTCTTCTAACGTAAAGTAGTGAAGAATCTTGAATGCTCCAATGATAGGTGAGATTGTTTACTTTAGTAACATAATCATCACCCTCGATGTTAGCCAAGTATCAGTTGTGGATAATATTTGTTTCATATTTTTAACTTACAGAGCTTGAGTTTGGTTAATTTCATAATGTCGTCTACTTCCATTATTTTTAGAAAATTTACATATTTATTACTTTTGTCTACGTATGTATGTGTCAATGTGTAAGTGGTAAGATTTTACTTCGTCATATTTGATGAATTTTTAATAAATTTTAATTGTATTATGTATTTTGTATTAACTAATATTGACCGAGTGTCAGGTTGTAAAGTTTACTCTTGATTTCTATTCTTTTTATACTTCTTCGCTATCTGCATACTATTAGAAGAAAAGGCTTCCGTCTTAAAAGGTCAATCATTATTCAAATCGTCTCATGTTCCTAGAGGCCATTAGAGAGCAAAACTTATAGGAGTTGCCAAAAAAGTATTTAGAACCATGACAAGCTCTTAATTTCTACAAAGCTCTGAGTATTTTATATTTGATCATCCATTATATTCAAATCTATAAAATCAAAAATTCAATTACTTATAATTTTGAAGCATTAACAAATTCAATACCTTGATCAATTGAACCTTTCAAACCTTTCAAAGCAACATCAATTAATTTTTTCTCTTTTTCACTAACATTTAATTTTTTAAATGGATCAATAAAACCAGCAATAGATCCATTTGTTAAATAAACAGGAACTGAAAAAAATTCAATACCACCTAAATATTTTTCTGAAAATGCTTTACCACCTTCTATACCAGGTAAATAAATATAAGCTGAATCTGGGACTTTATTTACAATAGAATCACCACCTGTTAATGATTTTATAACATATTCAGCAAATCTATAACCAGCATAAGCCATTGATAAGGTAGCTGATCCTGCACCATTTTTAGCTTTAACAACTTCATCACCACCAAATTGAACTCTATGAATAAATCCCTCATACTCCTTATCTGAATTTAATAATCTTATATTTGTATTATAATTAATTAATGGAACAATTGTATCACCTGAATGACCTCCAATAACTGAAATTTTACCTTTTAATAAAGAAGGATTAGTATTTGTTAATTCTCCATAAAATGTTTCAGCTCTAACACTATCTAAAGTAGTAACACCAAATAATTTTTTTGGATTAAAAACTCCTAATTTTTTTAAAACTTGTGCTGCAATAGGTACCGTTGAATTAACAGGATTTGATATAATTAAAATAGCAGCATTTGGACAAGTTCTACCAATATTAGCAACTAAATCTCTTATTATAGAAGCATTAATATTAAATAAATCAGCTCTTGTCATTCCTGGTTTTCTTGGTACACCAGCTGGTATAACAACAATATCTGAACCTTTCAAAGCTTCTACAATAGCAGTTTTATCTTCTTTGGATGATGGTTGATAACCTGTAACTACTGCTGGTGTATTAATATGTGATAAATCTGCTGCAACTCCCTTTGCATTAACAATATCATATAATGATAATTCTGAAACTTGAGGATTTAATTTTAATAACAATGATAATGGTTGACCAATACCACCTGCTGCTCCAGCTACTGTAACTTTTACCATATTTGTAAGATTAAGATTCTATAAATGTATGTGATAAGTGTAATTGAAATGAGTATATGAAATAAGTTGTTGTGGTAAAACTTGACTTGATAGAAAAGAAAAGAAAAATGTAACAAAATTTCAAAAATTGTGTATTGAAATATTCAATTTAATTTGTTTAATCTCCTTACAAATTAAAAAAAAGATCGTGGGGTAAAAATTAATATTATTTGTACTACCAAAAATATTCACGTGAATATTTAATTCTTAAAGGTATGGTATGTAAGAATTAGAGAATACTATCTATATAATTCGCTGGATAAGGGCTAGTTATTTCTTACTTAGGTAGCTAAGTTATAATTTGACCTTATAAACCTTTGGCCATTTTTACCGGGGATAAATGATGAAATTTTTGAAATTGTTCGATTCATTGAGGTCACAATATTAAAAAACCACAATATCTTTGGTGTCGCATGATGAAATTAACCGACACTTAAAAGATGTCTCAAAATTTTTTTTATTCCGAACGACAAAAAAAAAATTAAAAAGATAGAGAGAGACGAAATATAATAAACTTAATATTACAAATAGATCATTAAGGCATAAAAAACTTGAATCAATTTGATAGGTTTTATCGAAATAATAATACATCAATCTATTCAATAATTTTTAATTCAAAGGATCAATTTACTTTCTTAGATTGATAAATTCAAGTTTTTCGCTTTCTAGATTTGCTTAGTTATCGGACTTTATAAATATTCAAACTTTTATCTTCAAAATCATCAAAATCTAAGGATTGCAATGTTTAAATCAATTTTAATACTTTTATCAAGTACTTTGGCATTAACAAATGCAATTGACTGTTCAGTAAAAGAACTTCAGCCGTATAATTTGGAATTAATTAAAGGTATTCATACAGTGTCAACAATAAAAAATACACCACCATCAAAAACTAATATTACTTGGAATTTTGGAATATGTGAAACAATTAATAATAATAATAACAATTTAAAAGATTGTCCACAAAATTCAGATATTTGTGGTATAACTTCAATATTATTAGATAATAAAGAACCAATAGTATCAGAAATTTTTGGTTTTAATTCAAATATTCAAAAATCATATTCAACACTAGGTAAAAATGGTGAAAATGGAGTAATTGTAAGTATAAAGGGGGCTAATTGGGGTGATCAATTAATAAATGCGGAATTAAGTTTCAATTGTGATAAAAAAATTGATAATTATGAAATAAAATCAAATGAATGGAATGGTGAAACTTTAAGAATTGCAATACTGTCAAAAGGTGCATGTATTACAAGTGATAAAGATAAAAAGAAAAATAATGACAATAAAAACAATGATAAAGATAACAACAAGAAGAAAAATGACAATGGAGAATCATGGGGTTGGTTTACTTGGATTTTTATCTTTTTAGTTTTATTTTTAAGTATTTATATTATTGGTGGTGCTTGGTTTCAATATAATAAAGGTAATGCAATTGATTTTCAAAGTGCGCTTAAAGAAGTAATTGAAAATTTTATTGAATTATTGAAAAGTTTACCAAGTTTTGTTAGGGAAATTATTGAAAAATTTACTGGGAATAGTAGTAATAGAGGTGATTACAGTGCAGTATAATTTTTGGTTACTTAGAATCACAATAGTTTAAATAGTCTTGTATTGGGAGATCTATGTAATTTGAAGTATATAGATCAATCAATTAATTATCATTCAAGTATCTGTGTAGATCTTATGCTCTTTGTATGAAACAGATTGAAAAATTAACTTTAATGCATAGATTCCCGAGTGAAAAAAAAAAATAATTAATACATACGCTGCAACATGTAAATTAGTTTTCTACTCCACAATAACCTTTATTCATTACAACAACCACCAAATATGAGTACTGTCAAAGATCTTATAAATTCATTAGGTCCAGATGAAAAATTTGTATCTTTTGAATTCTTCCCACCAAAAACAGACTCAGGTTTTAGAAATTTATTAGCAAGATTAAATCGTTTATCAGCATTTAATCCATTATTTATTACAGTTACATGGGGAGCTGGTGGTTCAACTAGTGAAAAATCCTTAGATTTAGCAGCTACTTGTCAAAAGAAAATTGGTCTTAACACAGTATTACATTTGACATGTACAAACACCAACAAGGAAGTCATTGATGAAGCGTTAGCAAGAGCTAAAACAAATGGTATAAGAAACATATTAGCATTAAGAGGAGATCTAGCAAGAACAGAAGAATATTGGACACCAAATTGTGAATTCAAAAACGCAATTGATTTAGTTAAATATATAAGAGAACATTATGGTGATTATTTTTGTATTGGAGTAGCTGCTTATCCGGAGGGACATGTTGATGGATCTGATAATTCAAATCAAAATCCTAAAAAGGACATACCTTATTTAATAGAAAAAGTGAAAGCTGGTGCTGATTTCATAATAACTCAATTATTTTTTGATGTTGATAAATTTATAAGTTTTGAAAAATTAATTAAACAAGAACCAGAACTCAAAAATATACCATTGATACCTGGTCTAATGCCTATTACAACCCATAAAGTATTCACAAGAGCTACAAAATTATCACATGCAACAATACCGTCAACCATATATAATAATTTTGAAGATATAAAAAATGATGATGATGCAGTAAAATCTTTAGGAGTTGAATTACTTTGTGATATAATTGATAAAATTAATAAATCAACAAATTTAAAAGGTTATCATTTTTATACATTAAACTTGGAAAAAGCAGTAGCATCAATAATAAATGAATCAAAAGTATTACATCCAATCTTGGAAGGTCCATCAACAAGATTTGAAAATGAAGATGCATTAGCTTCAGATTCCGAAGATGAAGAAATTCCAAATGGTCAAAAACCACAACAACAAAGAAGAAAATCATCAATAAATGAAAACGTAGTAGGTAAATCAATGAATACTAAATTATTATACAGTAATAAAAAGGCATTATTTGAAATAAGTAGAGGTAAAGGAGCATTAGGTAAAGATGCAACATGGGACGATTTTCCCAATGGTAGATTTGGTGATTCTAATTCACCAGCTTATGGAGAAATTGATGGGTATGGACCAAATTTAAAAATTCATAACCCCAAGGAAGCAATAACAAAATGGGGTTCACCAACAACTACAAAACAATTAAGTTCAATTTTTATAGATTATCTTTCTGGTAAAATTGATGTTGTTCCATGGGCTGATAGTTCATTATCTCCAGAAACTGCTATTATACAAGAACAATTATTTGAATTGAATGAGAAAGGTTGGTTTTCAGTTGCTTCTCAACCTGCTGTAAATGGATGTAAATCAACAGATAATATTTTTGGTTGGGGACCTCCAAATGGTATAATTTATCAAAAATCATTTGTTGAGTTATTTATACCTAAAAAGGACTGGGAACAACTTAAACCCCAATTAGATGAATCAACTACTTTTTATGCAGGTAATAATAAGGGAGAAATAGAATCAAATTTACCAATAAATCAAAGTCATAATTTTAAATCTAAAAATGCAGTAACTTGGGGAGTTTTTCCATCAAAAGAAGTTATACAACCTACAGTAATAGATTATGAATCTTTTAAAGCTTGGAATGAAGAAGCATTTTTATTATGGTTAGAATGGTCAAGATGTTATAAGAAACAATCTGAGAGTTTTAAATTATTAAATTCAGTTTATGAAAATTATGTATTGGTTAGTTTAATTCATCATGAGTTTCCTGAGGAAAACGCTTTGTGGGATTTACTATTATAGCAACTGGCTATGAAATATAAACTATAAATTTGAGTAGTAGTTACATTTTATAGAGTATGTATTCGTATATAATTAATAAATTTATTCCAATTAACGATTTGGTACTCCTAATTGATGTAAAGCACCATGATTATCTAAAGCTGCCATAGCAGATTTTTGACTTGATTTCTTTTTACTTGTATCAACACCAAATCCTAATTGAATACCATTACATGAACAAATAGTATGATATTCAGTACCAACTTGATTAACATCATAATCAGCTTTTAATTGTAATGGTCCTAATATGGCATACAAATCATTTTTAGCTTGCATATTAATTTCTTTTACTGATAATGGAACTCTTGGACAATTTATTGGTTGATTGAAAGCACTTACTGGTTCTGGAACTCCAAAACTATTCATTTGATTGTTTATTTGTTGATATGAATTGTGTGGTGAACCTCTTGACATTTGCATTTGTGGTGGTAGTGGTTGTGGTTGACCAAATTGTGAAAACATTGGTTGTTGTTGTTGTTGTGGTGGTGGTGGTTGTTGTTGATATGTAGGTTGTTGACCATATCTTTGCATTGGTGGTGGAGATTGTTGATAACCGACATTTTGAGGAGGCATTTGGTTTTGATACATTGAATTTTGTTGATATGGATATTGTTCATGTATACCTTGTGATACTTCTGATGTAACCAGAGACATTCTATATTGTGATCTTGGGGCTGTATTAGCATCTCTTGAATTAGTTTGGTATGCATGTGGATCAGAGTAATTATCATGAACTGCTACTGCCATGGATTGTTGCTGATTATGATCGACCGGAACTAGTTCACCTCTATTTCTTAAATAACTTTCTTTCATAATTGTGAAAATCTTGTTTATACTATTTTGATTATCCATAACATCTAAAACTGCACGATCTTTTGCATCTTCAAAACTTACACTAGATACTCCAACTCCCAAAACTTCCCCACCAACTAAAACATGAGCAAGATGTGGATCTGATTTTACTTCAACAATTTCATATTTAATATTATCGAATGGTAATTTTGTTAAATTTGTTATAGATTTAAATAAATTTTCTAATTCAATTAATGCAATTTTTCCAATTGGAGTTGTAGATGCTTTTAAATCAATTACCAAAGGTTCATATAATTTTTTCAACCACAATTTAATTTCTTTCAAGTCATAATTTTCCATTTGTAGACCAGCTATATAAGATAAGAAAATATTTCCACATATGACCATTTTTTCTTCAATATTTGCATCTGAAGATAGATTATACTTCATTGAGTCAACTAAATTATACCCAAAGGCAAATTTAGCTAATTGTTCAGAAGACATCAATCTACTTCTTATAACCACCAAATCATTTTCATATAAATTTGGAAATTTTTCTTCCAATATTTCTAGTAATAAGAAATCCATAATCGATCTACCTCTTATTGCCAATTTTGCATTATGTGAATTATTATACTTGATTGATTTTGATTCAACAAAGTCACTAATACGTCTATATGACTTATCTGTACAAATTCTGACTAATAATAAATCATTTGCCATTAATGGTAATGTAGGTGGATATGAATAATAATCAGTTGATAACTTGGTGCTTTCATCATTAAATTTCAACAACTTCTTAGTTTTATCATCAACTGTTGGAATTATATCTAAGAAAGTTTGTAAAGTTTGATCAGTACCTGCAGCTGCTTTGAAATTTACATTTAATAATCCAGTTAAAAATGGTAATTTTTCAGCTTCACCTAATTGACGTATTCTAACAGCTACTTTGATTTGTGGGGTTTCAATAATTCCTTTTAATCTATCCAATGTACTTACTGCTTCACCTGTTTCAATTTTAGCATTCCCTAACTTTAAATAGTATTCAAATAATTCTGGAGTTGGCGATTTTTCAAGAATTGATTTATAAGTTGCTTGAAATTGTGAGATGATTGCTCTTAGTTGTACTAGATCTTCAACTGTAGCTGATAATGGTTTATCTGGTTTTGACATTATATTAGTTTCATTGATGATGATGATATACTAAGTAATAGTAATCTACTGTTATAACTGAATATGATCAGTCAGTATGGAAAAAGTAGTCTGTTATATTTTTTTTTCTGTTGTTTTCTTGTAAGAAATTCGCACTAAAATAATATGTAATAATAAATTTTTATTACAATAGTCTACATAGATAATTGAAAAAATTGCTTATTGTAATATACTTATTATTGTAATCAATGAGATGTAATGAGAAGGAAGTGCAAATTTGCATTCTGAAAGTTTCAAACTGTTCGTAATGTTGAGAAAACGATAGATTAAGCTATGGGAAAGAGTCAAAATAACAGATGAACAAATAAAGAGATAAACTGTCTACAACTCAAAATTTTTGGAACTTAACATACAAAATACATATAACATTTATTAATTCAAAATGAAAATCAATATTAAGGGATGCAATAATAGTGTCACTTGTCGTCCGCACAAAGAAACTCTTTCCTTAAACTTATTGTTTTCAAATTAAGCAAAGGAGAAGAATTCATACTTCAAAAAGCTAGAGCATATGTAAATAAAAAAGCATGCAGTAGGAATGAAAAATATAAAGAATGTATGACAAACTTTATATAAATTCTATATATCAAACCAAACAAATGAATCAATCTTCAATGAAACATTCGTAAGGTATAATAATCTTACTGTGCCCGTTATTTACCTTTTATATTTCACATATCGCCAGCACTGGAACACTTAAAAACACACAAAATTAGTTTATAGTTATAGAAGAACTTGAGAAATTTTTGGTGAAACTCAGAAGTATTTATAATTTTTCAAAATACAAATTCAACCCCTTTCAAATTCCATAAACACAACACAAAATTTAGAATTAATACGTTTTTAAACAAAATTATTAGTGGGATTTTAATTGTTTTTTATTAATTAATTTTATTTATATTTCAAAATAATTTTATATACATTTTATTAATTTATAAATCTGAAACAATTTTTTGAATAATAAAATATTATATACAGAACCTGCTCTATACTTTTGTTGGGGATTTTTGCATTATTTCTTAAAACATAAATATTAAGACAATAAATAGTTTAATATCTCAATCCTGTGTAAACTTATAAGGTAGAAAATAACTTTAAGGGATTAAACTTTATTTATCAGTTGATCTTGATTAATCGTTAGTATTCTATACCTTATAGATGATTTAATAAACAAATTCGTTCTTGTTAGGTTAGTTAAGAGATCAACTACAATTCTTGAAAATGTTTTGAATACAAAAAATACAATATAAATACGTTTATTAAGAAATAAGGATTTTAACATCAACAAAAATTTTCAAATAAATATATATCAATGAATGAAATTAATTCGAAAAGAAAAACTAATCTGTTGAAGTTATGAAATGCTATTATGTGGAAAATACAATCTGATAATAAAACATTTCTAAACTCTGATTCACAAACTAAACAAATAGTATTATAAAATTATAATATATTTGTGGAGAATGATCAAGAATTGATTTTCTATTTAATTGTAGAAATTATTGCTCCAAAGAATTATAGGTAATTTGTAAAAGCACTCAAAGGACTGGGTTTTCAATTATTGTAAATTCAACAAATTCTGAAATTAATGGAAAATTTGTCTCTATTTATAAAATCTCAGGGTACTTCTTCTTACGTAATCCTTAGTAGATACAAACAAATATTAATTTGTTACCCGTATTAGTCCAAATATTATATTTGTTGGTCTCCTAATTAAAGATAAAAATAATTTAAAATCTGAAACAAAAATTTTAACAATAAAGAATTTTTTTTTTTTTTACTTTTCTGCATATAAATGAGAACCATACAATGTAAAACATTTAGTATCACATAATACCAATTCCATTGTTAAGGACATAAATACATTGTATGTTTCCAATTGTAAACTGAAATTTCAAAATTAAGAACAAATCAAGTGTTCGGTTAACAAGCCACCTCTCTCCTTGAATTATCTAAGAGCGGATGCTATTTACCAAAACTCTCAAGAAGTAGTTATACGTATATTCCTAATTAGTTTGTAGATACTACTATTTCAAAATCTTGACCCAGGGATATAGATCTTTCCCATCGATATCATTTGTCAGAAATTTGGATGGTAAAATTTTCATTGATGATATTATATTAAGCAATGGTTATCAGTTGTTGTAAAGGGATTGATCAGTCAGTGTAGAATAACTAATTTGTTATTTTTTTGATCTATTTTTTTCTTTTTTGTAAGAAATTCAGATCAAGATATATATTTTTAAAACATTACAAGAAAAAACTATACTTGAATAAATAATTTTTTTCATAGCTAATGATAAACCACAAAAACTTAGAACAAATCAGAGGCTTGACAGCAGTCATAAACTTAGATTGTTCCAAGAGTCATACCTACTTCATGATTTTTCTGAGCAAAATTTGAGCCTTAGCTTTTGTCGTTCTCCATTCTACAATAATTGTTTAAACAATATAAGATAATCTTTCTTCAATACGTATTGTTTAGTTAACATTCCACGTAACAAGAATTTGTTAAATAATTGACCTCTTCCTTTTTAGACAGCTAGGAAATTTCTTACCAAGCGAATACATTGAAAAGTCAAAATGATCAATTTATTTCAACAATAAATAGTCATTATGCGCAACAGTAATGTTGAAAGAGTTGAACTTTACAAGACAAGATTCAAATACAAATAAATAGTTACATGCATTATATTGAAGCAAAAACAGAATTAATAAAAATTTAAAAACCACTTTAATTGAAAAACGACTTTCTAAACCAAATTACTAATTATTAAAATTATTCTTGAAGTGAAATTTGAAAAACTATTTTTTCCAGGCAAAATATATAAAAAAAATCTAGTCAATAAAATGAAGATTAAAGTAAGAAAGATTACTTAATACGAAAATGATTCAAGCACACAAATTGAAATCCTCTTTAACATATAAAATTTGATGTAAAGTCAAAATCATACAGAAAAAGAGCAACACAAACCAAACAAATAAAATTAGAACTAAATTCATCTATTTGTGAAGAATGATTATCATTTGGGACTTGTGAATATAGTAATGACACTATTCATACTTAACTGAAAATTAGAAAAAAGCTAAGAAGTACATTGAAGCAAAAAAAAACTGAGATGAATTATTATTTATATTATATATATATTATATGTTTGAAAAATTATTCTAGTTATTCAACCTCTCTCAATTTTTAGAATCAATTTAAATATAATTTTCACAAGATAATTTAAATACAATTTTACTCCACTTTTTCATATTTTGTTGAGAAACTCACTAACTATAATTTATGCATAGTAATTCTATATTTTGTATTGTGATAAATAATTAATTTAAATTGTAATAATTAAATAATAAAAATTAAATTTTTAAAATTCTGAAACAAAAATTAAAACAATAGATGATTTATATGCAGGAGTAAATATTTTTATCAGTATTAAGCAAAGTGTCAATTTTACAACAAAATGAGAGACAAAATATTTTAATTTTAGTAATAGTTTTATATCATGATGAAAGTAATTAAAAGAGTTGAGCTACATTATCAAATAAATTTTAATCAAAATACAAAATACAATATAAAATTATACATTAAAATATATTAATTTATTTACAAATAAATCAAGCTTTCCCAAGTTATGCTCATAGACTAAACTTCATTAATATATGTCATGAAAACAAACATGATAATAACTTTTTGAGATTTTGCAAACCCGGTAATACCTTCCAAATAAATTTCAGAAATTAAAACAATTCAAAACAAAAACTTTAGGTTCATAATTTAATACCACAAGTAAATGATAAGAAATTGAGAACTTTTGATCACATTTTAAACAAACAAATATCATAAAATTATGATAATTTCGTAACAAATGATATATTTTGTTTTGATCATGATTGAATCTGCGTATGAAGTCGCTGATGATATCAATATATTATTCCTCTGTTGTCTCGACTAAATTTTAAAAATGTTGCTATTAAAATATACCAAAATTAAAATCAAAAAATTTAATTGAAAAAAAACATGAGAAATTCTCTCTCTTTAAATATTTAGAAAATATTAATATCTAAGTTTAATTTTTTGTGGGGATTTTAAAACTCAAGAATTAATGAGAAAAAAAAAAAATTAAACTTTTTTATTAAATTATAATAATTTTGATATAATACAGATAAACAATTTGTTTTTAAATTTAAAAATTCTTTTAGTAAAATAATCTTCAAAATGACCAATAAATTAATTTAGCAAAACCAAAAGGAAATAGTTTAAAATTACATTTAAAAATCTGTATTTAAAGAAATGAAATAAAGTTATACATTAAATTAAAATTACTTACTTGAATCACACTTACCAAATTTAGCTTGTTGGCTCAAAGCTATGTAAATAAACTGTATGTTTTGCTTGTTGTAACAAATTCCCCGGGTTTTATGAGGCCTAATATCATATGAAACAAGTTTTTCAATCCTACTATTTGTATCATATAATAATAAAAATGACACAATCCTATGAACTAAAATATAGTATTTCCCTATGAAGTGTGTAGTAACAATTCATAAATTGGTACAAATTTTTTACAAAAAAGAAGAGAAGAAATCAAAAATATAACAAATTAAATTTTCTACACATACTAATCAATTAATTTTAGACAACTGACCACCGAAACTTAGTACTTCATCATCATCAATGAAATTATTACCAACCGAATTTCTGACATATGATATTGATGAAAAAGATCTATATCCCTAAGGAAGGATTTCGAAATAGTAGAGTCTACAAACCAATTTGAACTATACGTATAATTTTTCTTGAGACTTTTGGTAAATCAAGGTAAGAGGTAGCTTATTTACCAAACATTTGCTTTGAACTTAATTTTAAATTTTCAGTTTACAATTGAAAAAATACCAATTAAAAATTAGTGTTATTGGCAAAAGAATTTATTTTTTGTGGTGATATAAGAGTTTTTTAC